TGATTGGAGCTCCCTTATAGGTGATCTGACGCTTCTCTCTTGCAGCTTTCAAGATTCTCTCTTTGTCCTTGAGTTTTGCCATTTTGAGTATAATATTTCTTGTTGATGTCCTTTTTTTTTTTTTTTTTTTTTTTTTTTTTTTTTTTTTTTTTTTTTGAAGATCTGGCCTCCCATAGAACTGATGGCCAGTAAAACCCTCTCTTGGGCCAGAAAGAACAATCTGCCCAAAAAAACTTACTGAGTTCCTTATAATTGTTACATCAAAAAGCCTCCACTGGGTGATTAGGCATCCCAGATGAAACATAGAGCACTGCAGCCCATATGGGCTCTACCCTGCAGGCCAGAGATCCAAAACTGTGTCATCAGGGCCTTAAAAGTCTCATTCATTGAAGTAGAGAAAAAGGAATGTCAGGGAAATAAGGAAACATAAACATGGTTATATGTTCAAAAGATGGAGAGTATGCCTTAAAAGAAAACAAAAATAACAGCATATAAGGAAAGAGAGGAGGACTCTGAAGGAGTTTCCACATCAACAAGATATTTTCTGAGACATAGAACCTTAACCTGAGGATTCTCTTCACAAGAATTTGATGTGAAACTCCATCTAGCAGAGTGAACACTAGCTAAGACTTAGGCTGGAAGTTCTGCAGCAGCAGCACTAGCAGCTGTCACAGAAAAATTGATGAGAATTTATGAAAAAATAAATGTTCCCATTTCCTGGGCAAATGCAGTCAGTGGCCAGTCAACACCAGCATGTGGCACCCCATGGTGCCTATAGCTGAATCTCATCAGTGTGAAAAGCCCCTGATCCATGGCTAATTGCCAGCCGTTATTTCCATATCACTGACCCACCTGAATGGCCACAACCCCTCTCAACTTGACTTTCAGCCAATGCCATCAGCTAATGTCTCAGCGGATGGCTGGACCCCACTCCCCTCCAGCTGATGTCCTACCCCCCATTGTGTGATTCAAGTTTTGAGATATGGAGGTCTTTTCTGACTCCTACTAGCATTATCAGGTTATCCACAATTGTTTTCCAAGATGACTTATCTTTTATTCTCTCTTGGAGAAACAGAGAGGTTAGCAGAAAGGCTGGCTTCTGCCCACTGGTTCATTTCTAAATATCACCCTCAAGAAAGAGAACCTACCAAATTTCATGTAAGACTTTATTCCATTTATAGAATATCCACATGTGATACCAAATTTTTCCCTTTGAGAAAATTTATTAACCTCTCAGAGGTTCTGGATGCTTAGCTTCATACAGAACAAAGACTGATACATTTTTTTCCAGCTCTAAAGTGACAGGATTCATTCGGTCTATGATCACAAAAGATATCTGTTGGTCCAGATGCTCAGTATCTGATGCTAGGACTATCACAATATAATCCTAACTGCTCTGCTTGCTTTATGCTGAAGAAGATGCCCAAAATCTAACTCTCGTGTTCCAGGACTTCAAACAGTGCCTCCTGTGTTCACTGTGAAAGAGTGGATAACATTGGAGGATTTAAAACACCTGGGCTGTGGCCCCATCTCGGCCACTTATGGTGAAGAGTATCTAGTGGTGGCTTGCTTTGCATTAAAATGTGTTTATAGGGATAATTATAATTGCAGGTACATTTTCTATATCACTGAAAAAAAAAAACAAATATTAGAATCCACATCTGTTGTATTATACTACTACAGTTCAACCTTATGTTACTACCAATTAACCTTTGTAATATACAGGTCTGAATACATCATTCCTCTGACCAAAAATTTCCAAAGCCTCCTAATTATGAAAACAAAAATTATTTTGCACAAGAATCGAATAGTCAAAACAGTGAGAAATAATCAAGGATTAGGTTTCAAATGTGTGCATGTGTGTATTATAATTAGTCTTACCAAATTTCCATTTCAGCCAAATAGACAAATTTGTAATCCTATAAACATGTTTCTTCTAATTTTATATGATTGTTTATGACATTCCTATTATAAAAAAATGAAAATAAGCACTCTCTCCAACAGAAATTTGTTGTATTCATTAAGGTCCAGGTGAAGTCATTTCATAAGACCTCCAAAGTAAACAGGTCACTAGATCTCCATCTTTTGAACTTCGGGCTATCAATTTCACGTAATTCATCCAGCCATTTTGACTGTTTATCTATTTTGCATCAGTGAGAGCACTGCCTTTTTGGCCTCTGTTAGACTATTAATGAACTCATAAGTACTAATCTATCTCCAGAGAGACTGAAAGCTCCTTGATATAGTTATTTTATACCAACACTGCACCATGCAGAGAACCTAAAACAGATTGTTTGTTTGTTTTCCAATCATATAGAAAGTGCATCTGCAATTATTATCCATACAAATACATTTTAAGGCAAAGGAACCCACAACTAAATACTGTTCACGATCAGTGGCTGAGTTGGGGCCACAGCCCAGATGTCCCAATTCCTCAGGATTATCTACTCTGCCACAGTGATCACGGGAGGCGCTGTTAGAAGTCCTGGAAAATGAAGGGTTACATTTTTGGGCATCCCCTTCATCCAAAGATGTATAGTTTTCACTTAGCCAGGTAAATCTGGCCCTAACTGTGCCTCTGGCATCAGGGGAAAAAAAAATAACCAATTGTTGAATAAAATGCAATAACCCAGTGGATTAAATGACTAATATTCAGTGTCTGAGTGACTCATCCGTCGCCTCTGTTAATTGCACCATACTGGACCACTGTGACTTAACTCCAGGAACAAAATTGTACATTCTCCTGAAAGGGTGGCCAGGCTGCTCAAGAGGAAAAAATATACTAATTGTAAATCCTTTCTATTTTTAGGCTTAATGTGCATTTTATTTGGCAGTAAGGCAGCATGAATAAAACTCCAATCCTAAGAATTTTGTTTCCTCCAAAATGTTCATGTCAGTAGAGACTTTGGGCAGTTGCTTACATCATACCCCTGCTTTCAAGAAAATATCCACCCATCTATGCCAGCACAGACAGATAAAGCCTAGAATATCCTCCTCACTTATGTACGTCCAGTATTTCTTTAGATATATGTATTTTCTAACACAAGATTCCCCTAAGGAGAAATCTCAGAATGCCCTCACTGCACTGTATAAAGAGCTTCCCAACATTTCATCTATTTTCTCTTTGGTGTTCATGGCTAGAGTCTCTCTCACATTTGCCTTTGTATATGTTGTTCCCTTTCATTTTAATTTAATTGTATTTGCTATTGTTAGCCTTATATTCTACCTGAGAATATAAGTTCCTCAAAGGAAGAGATTGTATGTATTTTATAGTATATATGTAGTACTGAGTACATAATATACATTGTAGTATGAAACATCACAGGACACACACACATGTGTAATAGCGTAACCTCATCTCATGCTTTCTTAAGTGCACTTCTTCAACCCTGCCATCAAAAGAAGAAAAGCATGGAGATAACTAGGTTCTGAATAATGTTATCTGTGTACATTATTATTGTTCCTCTGGCCATTTCTCTCACTGTTTTAGCAAAGCCCTAGTTAGTGTTCTTAACCTTTTCAGGGTTATGCTTCCTTTTAAGGGTCTGAGAAAAGTGAAGGGTACTTTCCCAAGAAAAATGATCACTTATCCACATATATAAAATTCCATGAGGACAGTGGCTCCTGACTGTCTTAAACATCTGTATTAAGAATGGCTTCGGGCCGAGCCCGTGGCGCACTCAGGAGAGTGCGGCGCTGGGAGTGCAGCGACACTCCCGCCGCGGGTTCGAATCCTATATAGGAATGGCCGGTGCGCTCACTGGCTGAGCGCGGTGTGGGCAACACCAAGCCAAGGGTTGCAATCCCCTTACCGGTCACAAAAAAGACAAAAAAAAAAAAGAACAGCTTCTCCACAGCCTCTTACTTAGTATCGAATTTTTATTCTGTATGTTGTTTCAGATGTTTACACAGTTTAAGGAAGCAACCTGAGATCATCCTGGCTTCCCCTTGTCCACTGGCACAGAGATCAGGCTATTGCACTGAACAAAAAATGACCATTGACATAAAATGGAGAGATGGTTAATGAGCAGTCTGAATCCTGGGGAACATGCACCCTTGTCTCAAACAAGGGAAGCGTGCTCACCTTTTGGTCCTGGCTGTATGCCAGAATCCAGTCCTCTTGCTTGGGGTGAAAAAGCAAGCTCTGGATGTAAAAGTTCAGCCGGTACTTTTGATAGGTCGCCCCTTCGTCTGAGCTGATCAATAAGCTGCTCTCAATCTCCGGGTCTGTCAGCAACATAATCTGCAGCAAAGAATTGTTGGAAAAAGAAAACAACAGAAAGTTATGTTTACAAATTTATAACACTTGAAAATGAGCTAAAATTCTGACAAGGGAGTGGGGGTGGGGGCAAGGGTCAGGCAGAGGATGCTTGGCCAGTCAAGGATCTTGACTCTGCCAAGGTTATTCTCCTACCTTGGGCCAGTGCCATGAAACCGTTTCCACTAAGAAATGAAAGAGGTAGGAGAAGTTGGAAGGAAGGGGAGGAAATAGTAATTGCATTCTCTTTTCTTCTATAGAACTGCTTGTTTGTTTGTTTTTCCATAGGTGATTTCTTTACCCAGGATCATTTGCCACTTTTCTGTTAACCTCAATCCTCCTTTCCATGGGTCCTTGTGTACTCTCCATTTTGAGAGCATAAAAGAGTGAAACTGGTTACAGTCTGTTGTGGGAAATGTAGAAAAGAAAGATGATGGAGTCCATTGTTTTTTTCTTCCCCATCTCAGGTCTTTTTTTTCCACATCAACAATGTCCCATGTCATCCTTCCTTTAGCCTGATTTTCTGAGTGTTGAGTCAAAGTCTGGACTCTCTGAAGTTTTCTCTAGGAATTTTACAGCAGCTATTTTATCCCCCTGCTTTCATTACTTTCTAACCAACTATTTACTGTACTTATTTATTTCTTGTCTATATACCCTCTAGCAGAACACATGTTCTATGAGAATAGGGATATTTTCTTTTTTATTCCCAGGTGTATTCACAGAAGCTAGACTAAGGCCCAGAATGTACTATATACTGGATAAATATTTGTCGAGTGAATTAATGAATAAATGAGTGAATGGGAAGAGTTTTCAGAGTAGTCATGTAGAATTAAAAAGATGCCCAGAGGGCCGGCCCGGTGGCGCACTGGAGAGTGCGCCGCTTGGGAGCGTGGAGGTGCTCCCGCCAAGGGTTCAGATCCCATGTGGAGACCGGTTCCCGCTCACTGGCTGAGTGCGGTGAGGGCGCAACACCGAGGGTTGCAATCCCGTTGCCAGTCCCCAGGACGGGCGCGACACCGAGGGTTGTGATCCCGTTACCGGTCAGTAAAAAAGACAAAAAGGAAAAAAAAAAAAAAAGATGCCCAGAACAGCTTGAGGAGATATGAATGGAAGCTCCGCGGAAAGAGTATTTGGATGCCTATAGAACACAGGAGAGATTACAAATGTATAAAAATTCACAGCTTCAGATGTCCTACGCTCTCCCATCGGGATGCCTGATCTTGGCCAGAGCAATATGAACAATCTACAGTAGGAGCAAGATAAAGGAGCTGCCCTGGAAACTGCTTTTTATTCTCTCATTTTATGCCTCTAGGGATGCGTGATAAAGTACCTCATTCCCGACTCTCTGTGGGTCTCCTCGCACTCTGTCAACGTGTGCACCTAATGTCTCCAGACAGGTGGTCTTAATGCTACCCATTGACTTCTCCCCCATCAACTTATTAATTGGCACTCTCTGAGTTTGCTTCAGAGAAGCATAAAAGATGTGCTTAATGTGTTCCTGTATGAAGAGAAATCACTGCAGCCTTGGCTTTAAAGATTACCAGCTGAGGAGGATGCACTTCCAGGAAAAGAAGACAGAGAGAGAAAGAGAGAGAAATAGAGCCATGTCAGAAAAGAGCAGAGAGCAGCCAAACACATGGAGCTTTCTCAAACATTTTGAGGCAATCATATTAAAATCTCAGAATATGATTGCCTCAAAATGTTTGAGAAAGCTCCATGTGTTTGGCTGCTCTCTGCTCTTTTCTGACATGGCTCTATTTCTCTCTCTTTCTCTCTCTGTCTTCTTTTCCTGGAAGTGCATCCTCCTCAGCTGGTAATCTTTAAAGCCAAGGCTGCAGTGATTTCTCTTCATACAGGAACACATTAAGCACATCTTTTATGCTTCTCTGAAGCAAACTCAGAGAGTGCCAATTAATAAGTTGATGGGGGAGAAGTCAATGGGTAGCATTAAGACCACCTGTCTGGAGACATTAGGTGCACACGTTGACAGAGTGCGAGGAGACCCACAGAGAGTCGGGAATGAGGTACTTTATCACGCATCCCTAGAGGCATAAAATGAGAGAATAAAAAGCAGTTTCCAGGGCAGCTCCTTTATCTTGCTCCTACTGTAGATTGTTCATATTGCTCTG